TCTATCTATCTATCTATCTATCTATCTATCTATCTATCTATCTATCCATCCATCCATCCATCCATCCATCCATCCATCCATCCATCCAATCTAGTCCTCAACACAACCCTTGATTTAGTGACGATTCAAAGTTACAACAAGTGACTTATGACCATATTACACACTGACGACTTTTGCATCATTCCACTTGGTCACATGATCTAAATTCAGACGTTAGGCTACCGACTCATATTTGTGACTGCCCTGGGGTCACGCGATTCCCTTTTGGGACCTACCGATAAGCAAAAGTCAACGGGGAAGCCAGATTCACCTAACAGCCATGTGACTCACTTAACAGCTGCAGTGATTCACTTAACAACGGTGGCAAGCAAGGTCGTACAATGGGGCAAAACCTGTTAACAGCTTAGCCACAGAACTGTTGGGATCCGTTGGGATCGAGGACAGCCTGCCTATAAGGGCTTCCAACTCTTCTACAGGAATAACCTAATAAATTGCATTTCATGGATTATAATTTCACTTCCCCGCAAAGTTCTGAATCTCACTTTAAGACTAAAGAATATAAATCCTAAAGAATCAAAGAAACTGCCTTTTAATGCAAAGCAGGAAGAAAACTAAAACCAATTAATCCATGAAGGTCGTTCTCAATTTAGGACAGGTTATTTCTGATGTGGTTGCGTGAGACTTTTTTTTTTTTTAAACACTTTTTTGTGGGTTAAAAAGGGAGGAATTCTCGGCAGCCCAAAAGAGAAAAATCAATTTTGGGACAGGATCCCAGATGGGCGACACCTGGCCCAGAATGGCCACAAGGGGGCAGCATGTCTTCCCTCAAAGGGCAGAAAGGGAGGGGGGGTGTTAAAGGGGAGGGGGAGGAGCTCTTACCTGTCTGCCATCTGGGGGATGATGTAATGCCCGTTCTTGTGATCTAAATGAAAAGGGGGGAGGGGGGGAAAACATGGCTGAGCCAATCTGATCAATAATAATAATTGTCTGATCAATAATTATCAATAATCTGCCAATCTGATTATATATGAACTATCACGCTCAGAGAGCATCAAGGACCCCACAGTCCTCCTCCTCCTCCTCTTTGCAAACCCTCCTCCCTTCTAGCCCTGATGAGGTTGCCTAGTTGGGTCATGAAACGTCTGCAAGGAAACAACCCAGCTTAGAGAGCACCAAGGACCCCACAGTCTTCCTCCTCCACCACCTCCTCCTCCTCCTCCTCCCTTCCTCCTCCTCCCCTCCTCCTCCTCCTCCTCCCAGGAAACCCCACTCCCTTCTAGCTCTGATGACGTTACCTAGTTGGGTCATGAAACGTCTGCAAGAAACCCACCCAGCTCAGAGAGCACCAAGGACCCCTCATTTCAACCCCAAGCTACACATATTCTCCTCCCCAAACTTCCCTGCCTGCCCTCATCCAGTCAAGACCCACCCTCCCCCCCCCCCCGAGGCCCCCATTCCCTTACCTGGCTTGCGCCCGCAAAGGTAGAAGGCCAGTCGGTCGGTCAGCTCATACTGGCACTCCACCAGCCGCTCCGCCAGTTCGTGTTGGGACGCCTGTCTGCGGAGAGGAAAGAGCAGGTAAGCCAGCCCTCCTTCCTTCCTTCCTTCCTTCCTTCCTTCCTTCCTTCCTTCCTTCCTTCCTTCCTTCCTTCCTTCCTTTCCTTCCTTCCTTCCTCCTCTCCCTCCTTCCTTCCTTCCCTCCCTTCCTTCCCTTCCTTCCTCCCTCCCCTCTCCTCTGTCTTTCTCCCTTCCTTCCTCCCTTCCTTTCTTCTATAGAATAGAATAACAGAGTTGGAAGGGACCTTGGAGGTCTTCTAGTCCAGCCCCCTTCTCAAGCAGGAGAACTTATACCATCTCAAATGGCTGTCCTGTCTCTTCTTAAAAGCCTCCAGTGATGGAGCAGCCACGATTTCTTGTGGTCAGCTGTTCCACTGGTTAATTATCCTCACTCTTAAAGAAGTTTCTCCCTTAATTCCAGGTTGCTTCTCTCCTTGGTTAGTTTCCATCCGTTGCTTCTTCTCCTGCCCTCAGGGGCTTTGGAGAATAATTTGAACCCCCTCTTCTCTGGGGCAGCCCCTCAAATATTGAAAGACTGCTATCATGTCACCCCTGGTCCTTAACAGAAGTGGGAAGGGACCTTGGAAGGTCCTCTAGTCCAACCCCCTGCTCAAGCAGCTTTTCCTCGGAAGTTGTGGGAGCGCCATCCCTTGAGACCTTCAAGAAGAGACTGGGCTGCCATTGGTCAGAAATGGTGTAGGGTCTCCCGCTTGGGTGGGGGGTTGGACTAGATGACCTCCAAGGTCCCTTCCAACTCTGATTATCTGTTACAAGCAGGAGAACCTATACCCTTTTCAGGCAAGTGACTTCCAGTCTCTTCTTCAAAGCCTCCAGTGAAGGAGAACACACAACTTCTGGTGGCAAGCAGTTCCACTGGTTAATTGTCCTCACTCTTAGGCAGTTTCTCCTTAATTCCAGGTTGCTTCTGTCCTTGATTGGTTTCCCTTTAGTAGACGGTCTAAATACGCCATCGTTCAAAACTCACTTAACAACTGCTTCGCTGGGTGGTACACTCAAATTAGTAATTAAAGGGGATTTTTTTTTTTAATTATTAGAATTAAGATGGAACTTTTGGAATAATGAAATAAGAGCATGCGATGAAATTGCAAATGTGACAGACAAACATATCAAGTATAACAAACATGAAGATACGAGAATTATTTAAAGTAAAAAAAAGAAGTTCAGATACGAATAGAAAATATATAAAATAAGTCTGAAGAATATAAGAACGTCTGAGAAAATTTGCAGAAAATATGAAATGTGACGGTATGACATGAAATCAAACGTGAAAAGATGAATATGTAACCAAGGCCACGTTTGGATGAAAATGTGAAAACCTGGAACCACGATGCTGTTTCAACAAAAAAGATGTTTTTGAAATGTGAAAAAAATAAAAAACTTTTTTACAAAAAGAAAACCCAACTTGCTTTGCTTAGCGATGGGCTCAATTGTGGTCATAAGTCAAGGACTACCTGTGGAACTTGGATTCACGCTTATGACCCTGGCACCATCTTTGATCATTTTGGCAACCCGACTGCCTTTATGACCTGCTCTAACCATTCTGCGGTCATGGGATTTACAATTTCTCACCTTTTTCCCCCCCCGCTGATTTCCAGCAAAACGTGGCCCCTGGTGGAGGCTGGATTCCTTAACTGGTAAGCGACTGACTTAATGGCCGTCATAAACGTCACCGAATTGGGCCCAGCTTCGATTTACGACCACAATGACTTATATGACTGAAGTCTGGGCCCAATTGCCGTTCTTAAGTCTAGGGATTACCTGGTAGTGCCTTCCTGCATTTCTCGGGGGGGTGGGTGGGGGGGGGTGGGTTAGACTGGATGACCTCTACATGCCCCTTTCCCACTCGGGATGGATTGGATCAGGCCGAAAGGGGCAAATCTGGGGTCTTGTGTAAATACAGCGAGTCCTTGACTTACAATGGTTCGTTTAGTGACCACTCAAAGTTATGACGGCACCGTAAACATCGTTTTTCACACTTAATGACTGTTGAAGCGTCCCCCATGCTCACCTGATAAAAAATTTCAGACGCTTGGCAACGGACTCCAATTTATGACGGTTCCATTGTCCCGGGGGGGGGGGGGCCTGGGTCCCCCCTTTCCACCTTCGGACGAGCCGAGTCCCCAGGGGAAGCCAGATTCACTTAACGTGTATGTGTGACTCCACAACCGTGTCGATTCGCTTACGAAAGGTCACAACATGGGACAAATCTCACTTAACAAATAGTTTACTTAGCAACGGAAACGTTGGTGTCAACTCGTAAAATATTTCTCTGGTCTTTTTTAGAGTGGCCAAGAGAAAGGGAGAGGGGAGCAGTGCGACAGCTTGGAAACCGAAAGCGCATTCCATAAATGTTTTCAAAGACAGTAACTAGGCGACTGAAGTTTCTGCCGTGCAAAATTCTAACTGGAGAGCCTGATTGATGACTCTGGGCTATGGATGTGTCCCATTGGAGAATGTGAATTACGATACACCGAGGGGTTGGAGGGGAAAACCAGGGTCAGGGGTGACAGTGAATTATCTGTCTCAGAGTTGGCTACACCCAGGCGGTGCCGGCATGTTAACTCCCAATAAATCCTTTGGAAGTTTTAGAAGTTTGGCTCCAGACTCATGATTTTATTGGAGGGGGGGGTGGGGGTAACTGGCGGAATCCTGACAGTTGGGCTTAATTGTGGTCGTAAGTCTAGGCAGGGGGCTGGACTAGAAGACCTCTAAGGTCCCTTCCAGCTATATTCTATGTTCTATTCTAAACTACCTATACAAAGGTTCTAGAACTCCCAGGAATCTGGAGGATCTTCTTTCCCCGTGGACGATCCTGACCACCGCTCCCCTACCAGGCAAAGCAGGCAGGCAGATTAAGTTGCTCGCAGAATCACAGATTCACTCGGAGATCTACCTTTCTGCAATCTGCTACCTGAGTCTGCTCTGAAAAATAGAAGCTTCGGTCCTAAGGAAGGTTCAGCTCTGCTTTTAGATCCTGCACCCAGACACCCAGCCCCACGGCCCCCACCTGGCATAGTCGATGGGTGTCCGGCCGTTTATGTCGGGAGCGCCCGGATCAGCTCCATACACCACCAGCAACTCAGCCTGGAGCACCTGGCCAGCTTTGGCAGCCACGTGCAAAGGTGTGGTCCCCTTCTCCTAAAAACAAAATGAAAAAGAAGCCGGTGGGAATTCTGCACGTACCCAGAAGCTCTGGACCAGGGGTGGGATTAAAGTTTCTTAGCAACCGGTTGTGTGGGCATGGCCTAACTTGTGGGTGTGGTTTGTGGTCACATGACTGGCTGGACGTGGCTTGTATGTAAATATTTATGTAAATATTTAATTTTTTATTAAAAAGAGAGCAACTTTTACCCAAAATCAGGCAAAGCAGGCAGGCAGATTGAGTTGCTCACAGAATCACAGATTCATTCAGAGATCTATCTTTCTGCCATCTGCTGAGTCTGTCACATAAAATTTGCTTGCAAGTAAACTCACAAAATTAACTCACAACACACCATGTAAGTAAATATTGATTTTTTTATTTTAAAAAAGAGCAACTTTTACCCAAAAGCAGGCAAAGCAGGCAGGCAGATTGAGTTGCTCACAGATTCACAGATTCATTCAGAGATCTATCTTTCTGCCATCTGCTGAGTCTGTCACATAAAATTTGCTTGCAAGCAAACTCACAAAATTAACTCACAACACACCATGTATGTAAATATTGATTTTTTTATTTTAAAAAAGAGCAACTTTTACCCAAAAGCAGGCAAAGCAGGCAGGCAGATTGAGTTGCTCGCAGAATCACAGATTCACTCGGAAATTTAACTTTCTGCCATCTGCTACCTGAGTCTGCACTGAAAAAATAGAAGCTTCGGTCCTAAGGAAGGTTCAGCTCTGCTTTTAGATTAGCTAGAAAGCAAGAAATCCAACCATTTCCTGCTTTCTATCGAATCTAAATCGCCCAGCACAGCTGATAGTCAGAATAACTGATGGTTGGGGGAGAGAAAAAAAAAAAAGGAAAAATAGCAAGTTACCAAAAATTAGGCGAAGGCACAAAACAGGCAAGTTGGATGGCGCGCATGCCAGGAAAGGAGTGAGTGAGTGGGGAGGGGAGGGCCCAGCCAGTGGCACGATTTGCCGGTTCTCCAAACTGCGCAGAATTATAACAACCGGTTCTATAGAACAGGTCCGAATCGGTAGAATCCCAGCCCTGCTCGGGACCGAGGTAGAGAATAGCTTGGACTTACCGGGTGGAAGAAGTTGGCTTGGGCCCCCAAGGAGAGAAGGCGCAGGCAGGTTTCCAGGTTTCCTGTTCGGACACTGGAATGCAGTTGCTGCCGGGGTGGAAAAAGGAGATTAAGAGGGCTGAGAAGGGACTTCAACTCCCAGAATTCCCCCGCCAGCCAATTTTCCCCCATCACTGGCTGGGGAACTCTGGGAGTTGAAGTTAAAAAGTTCTTAAAAAGTTCTTAAGGTTGAGAAACACGGATCAAATCCCCCAATATGGCCTGGTCTGTCTGTCTATCATCACTGATCTATCCTTCTATCGCCTATCTATCATTTGTTTTATTCTTTAAAAAACAAAAAAAATACAAAAATCTCATTTCCATTAACCATTATTGTGTCATTGTATATGCATGTTTCCTGTTTTGTGACTATACATTATTTTTATCCTTATTCTTCACCCATTCGTACCACCTCTCCCATGTCGCATAGTATTCTCGATCCTCTTTGCCTTTCAGTTCCACAGTGAATTTATCTAATTCAGCACACTCTGTTATTTTTTGAATCAAAACTTCATCTGGTGGTATTTTATCACTCTTCCAAGTTTGTGCTAACGTGATTCTTGCTGCAGTTAAGATGTGTACAATAAGGTATCTTTTATCTTTTTTTCAAATTCCCTTTAATCATACCTAATAAAAAAAGTTTCGGGTTCCCATTTCAATTTATATTTTGTAATCTCAAAAAGCCACCTCTGTATTTTCTTCCAGTATTTTTTGACCTCTATACACTGCCACCACATATGGAAAAACGTTCCTTTCTTTTGTTTGCACTTCCAGCATTCCGGTTTCAAGGTTGGATACATTTTCACCAGTCGTGCCGGCGCTAAGTGCCATCTACAAAACATTTTATATTGATTTTCTTTGAATGCTGTCGACAAAGTCAGCTTTCAGTTCTCGGTCCAAGTCTTTTCCCACTCATCCAAATTTATATTATGACCCACATTTCTCGCCCAGGTAATCATTGATCCCTTAACAATTTCCTCCTCTAATTCCACCTCCAGTAGGTAATTATATGTTCGAGTTATACATTTTATATCCTTGCCTGTCAATATTTGGTCCAATTTTTGTAATTCTTTATTTATCCTTAGCTCCTTTACATCTTTCTTAAATTTAGTTTGAATTTGCAAATATACCCACCAGTCTAATGTTATCCCTTGTTCTTTTAGTTTATCCTCTGTTCATCTACCAATTCTTTATATCTAATCATTTTTTTTAAATGTCCCTTGTATTTGGATATAATATAGACTCCATGGGTGAGATCCAGTTTGGTCTTTTCAAATAATGCTTTTTTTAAATTTTCTCCCATGTTTGTAAAAGTGAGTCCCTTATCAAATGTCTATGGAAATAGAAGTGGATCTTATTCTTTTTATCCCATAGAAAGGCATGCCACCCAATTTGGAGGTCATGACCTTCTATCGCCAAAATTCTTTTATTTTTTAAATTTATCCACTCCTTAACCGATAGCAAAATTGCTGCTTGATAATATGTTTCCCATTTTGGGAGTCCAAGGCTGGTTCTACTATCTTGTAACGTTTTCAATTTTATTCATGCTTTTTTCCCCATCCATATAAATTTCATTACTGTCCTATCTAATTCCTGAAAAAATTTCTTATCCAATTTTATAGGTATTGTTTGAAAATAGTATCATAGTTTCGGTAGTATGTTCATGTTTATGCTCGCTATTCGGCCTAATAGTGACAGTTGTAATTTTCGTCAATTGGCCAGGTCTTTCTTTATCTGTAAAAGTAATTTCATATAATTATCCTCTTTTATGGAAGAGCATCTTCCTGTCATGTATGTATGTATGTATGTATGTATGGTATTCAGCTTTGTTCGGGTATTTTCCCACGTCATTATAGTTGAGCTTTTAAAGTTGTAGCAACGTTTCAGCAGAATCTCATCTGCCATCATCAGGCTTCTGTATTGTGTTTGTCTGTGAGTCAGACTTTCACAGCCGTTTCAGTTTTAAATTTGGGGCTAGCCTACTGCTGTGCCAGAATGGTTTTTTCTTCATCCTGATTGGTTGGGAGTCTTGGTCTGTGTTTATTGGTCTTGGAGTTGGCTGTGTTCTGCTTGATTGGTGTCTCTAATATCTTCTGTCTGTTTTGTGGCTCTTTTTGTATCTTGATTGGCTGGCAACATTGTGTTACTTTATTGGAGGCCTTTAGTGCAGCTTGGCTCCGAGTAAATGGACGACTATCATTTATTAGGAAGCTAGGTTTCATCTGGGTGCCTGGTTGGGATGTGTTTGAGCTGGAAGTATCAGGGGGGATCTGTTTGTGCCCAGGTGTTTGCCTGGCTTGTGGTGTGGATATTTTTTTGTTTGTGAGTGCAGGCTTCCAGATAAATTGACAGTCTGGTGGAATCATCTCTTCTGTTCATGCTTTCAGGTCTTTTTTCAATCTCTATGGCTTCTCTGATAATTCTGTGGCTGGGGTTTTCTATAGTGGCTAAGGTTTTGGTGCCATTGAAGTTGACGCTATGACCTGTGGCTTTCATGTGTTGGACTAGTGAGGAAGTGTGTTCCAGCTTTTTTACTGCATTTTTGTGTTCATCCAGGCGGGTCCTTATTCTTCTGTTGGTCTGTCCAATGTATGTGGCCGGGCATGATGCACAGGGGACTTCATATATGCCTTGGTTTTCCAGGTCAATTTTGTCTTTGGGGTTTCTGAGGATGGCTACTATATTTCTCTCTGTTTTGAAGGCAGTCTTGATGTGATGCCTGTGTGGTATTTTACTGATTTTGTCTGTAGTACCTCTTATGTAGGGCAGGACAGCTGTTCCATAGGTCTGTTCATCTTCTAGGTCTCCATTATGTCTCAGTGTGTTTTTGTGGATCAGGACTGTGATTTTGTGGATCAGGCCTGTGATTTTGCTTTTGTGGAAGCCGTTGGCTGTCAATATTTTAGTCAGGGTGCATAGTTCAGTCTTTATGTGTGTCTTGTCTGCCAGGCGTTTGGTTCTGGCAATTAGTGTTTTGGCCACGGAGTTTATCTGTGCTGGGTGGTGGTGGGATTGGGCGTTGAGGTAGCAGTTGGTGTGTGTTTTCTTCTGGTATATGGTGTGTCCTAGTGTGCCATCTGTTTTTTTGTAAATTAGTACATCTAGGAATGGTAGTTGTTAGGTATAACATTGATACCAAATATGGTTTGGGTGAATAAATATATAAAACTTAGATATCATGGTTTAAGTGCTTATCACTTTAAGCACAATGCAGCAGGCAATTAGCCGATTAAGGGTGCGGTTAGAAGTTACAATATAAGGAAGCATTAGAAGCTGGAAAGCTTACCTGCTGTAACTGTGTGCTGCTGCGACTAACTGTGTCTTACTGTGACTAACTGTGATTACTGACTGTGAGTGCCTGTGACTGAACTGTTATTGTTTGCTACTGTTTGCTGATTTACTGCGTAATTCTACTGAATATCCAGCGTTTGTTTCTCTGAAGAGTGAAACCGGAGGAGGAGAAGATATCTTTATCGGCTGATAAAGATATTGCAAGGACTCTTAACTTGGACTATACTAGTGAGTCTTACTGGATGGAAATACTGTGAATGACTTAATGGACTGAATGACAATGCTTAAACTCTAACTGGATTAAAAACTATTTAAACTACAAACAGTGTTTGTGTTCAGTGTGTGTATACTCTGGGGCCCTTCCGCTCTCCTTTGGTTGCCTGGCTTGACTACTGCTGCAATACTCTTCTAGGGGTTAATCCTCAAAACCCTAACAGTAGTTGTTTGTTTGTTTCCGTTTCCATGGTGAATTTGATTTTGGGGTGTGTGCTGTTTAGATGTGTTAGGAAATTGTTTAGGTTTTCTTTTCCATGGGGCCAAATAACAAATGTGTCATCGATGTATCTTAGCCATAGTTGGGTTTGTGGGTGGCATTGGCTAGGGCTCTGGATTTGAATTCTTCCATGAACAGGTTTGCAATGACGGGTGACAGTGGTGATCCCATAGGGGCTCCTTCAATTTGCTTGTATCTTTGTCCTTTGTATATGAAATATGTGTTGGTTAAGCAGTGTTTTGCTAGTTCCATTAGGTGTTTGGCTGGTTGGCATTTATTTTTGATGATTTCTATAGTTTCTTTTATCGGGACTTGAGTGAATAGTGAAACCACGTTGAAACTTACAAGCAGATCTTTTTGTTCCACGTGTAGATCTTTGATCATTTCCAAGAGGTGGTATGAGTTTTGTACATGTGAAGCTGCTGCTTCAGCATGGGGCTGTAGCTGCTTTGCTAGGTATTTGGCTAGGTTTTGTAGTGGTGCTCCTCTGGAGCTGACTATGGGACTGAGAGTTATGCCTTCTTTGTGTATTTTGGGGAGACCATATAGTTTGGGGCATCTGGAAGATTTTTCTCTTGGGACGATCTTCTGTTGGATCTCCTTGCTCATGTGGCTGGTTATGATTTTCTTCCTGGTTATTTTTTCCAGATATGTGGTTGGGTCCGTGTTTATGGGTTTGTATGTGGAGTCTTGGAGTAGGTCTGTCAATTTTGTTTTGTCGTCTTTTCTATCCATTACTACTGTGGCATTACCTTTATCTGCTGGAAGTATGAATATGCTGCTGTCGTTCCTTAGGTCTTGCAGGGCTTTTATTTCCTCTTTGTGCAAGTTGCTTTTGGGTGGTTTGCTTGTGCATAGGATGTTAGTGACTTAGTGTCTTATTCTATCAGATTCATCTGTATTTAATTTAGTTAGGCTGGATTCTACTCCACATATGATGGATTCTGTGGGGATTTTTTTGGGTGCTATAGCATAATTGAATCCTTTGATTAGGACATCTGTTTCTGTTTTGGTGAGTTCTCTGTTGGAAACGTTGTATACTAATTGTTTCAGGTGTTGTGAGTTGTTGGGGGCTTTCTTATCATGTTCTAATTTCTTTAGTTTCTTCAGGAGTTTGTCATTTTTGTAAGTGGTTTCAGTTTCAGCTCTCCAAGTTGTAAGTTGTTTTATCTTGTCCCAAAGTAGAGGGTGAATTTTGTTGCTCAATTCCAGGTGTAGAGTTAGGAGGTCTTTGTTTAACTGGTCGAGTTGGAATCACTTTCTGTGGAGCTT